TCGTACGCTGCGACTGTGCGCCGCAGTCGTGCTCTGCGGCGGTGCTCTGCGACCGTGTTCTGCGTCGGTGTTCTGCATCGGTGCTCTGCGGCCGTGTTCTGCGGCCGTGCTCTGCGACTGTGATACCCGAGGTCACACTATCTGTGCCGTGCTGTCTGAACGTTGAGTGCGCGCGGCGCTCGTGATACGGGCGGCCGAGTGAGCAGACTGCTGCCAAAGACGTTACTTGGGCAGTGCTGCTCTCGGCCCGGGTTGAGCGGTGCAGTGACGGAAACATTGCATAGTGATGTCTTCTCTTTTGTTAGCAGGGTCGGGGTGTAAGTCGGTTTATTGTTTGCATATCTAGTTTGATTTAGTGCTCGCTTCTCGTTTGTTAGCCACTCAGTTTGCTATGATCGTGAGGTGTAATTTAGTGTTGCTCAATTCCATGCCATTTTCCTAATTATTTTGTATCGCTAATTTTAGTCTCTGTTCTGTCGGTTTTCGCTCTGTTTAGTTCTAGGTCTAATCTGCCTGTTTCCGAGGTTTTGTTATTTTCCCGTCAGCGTCCACGAAGGAGTTCAGGTCGAGTCTTGGTCAGGCGCGAGTCTGGTTGGAGTTGAAGCGCGGTTGCTGGCGATGGGCCGTCGTGAACATAGTGCACCTGAAACTGCGGTGCCTTCGACGTGGCGGCCGTCTACATATGCATGCTTTTGTCGCACTGGAATGTATTCTTTTTGAACGTATCTCGGGGAAAATGAATATAAGGTAACATTTTATATCGTGTTTGACTATAACGGAGTAGTAAGAAATTCATTGGCAGTTACATCGTGCTGCGAATATGGACTCCGTTCGTGCATAAGCAATATGGGTATCACAGCTCCCCGGGCAAATTTGGTGTATCGCGCTGCAGGTGCCTAAATTGGCCACATGTATTTTGTACATGGGTATTACTTGGCTGGCTGCAAATATGCGGCTGCTGCTACGAGCGTCAAAGCCGCCAAGATAAATATTTCTCGCTCGTGAAAAAATGTTGTTTTTGTGTTATATTTATTACTCAGGCTCGTAGGCAAGCAAAAACGTCGGACTGCACACGCAGCTCTGTTGTGACCTGGACACTCCTTTACTCTCACCGCCCTTAAGGTGCTAAACGTCATGCAGAAAAACGTGTCGTTTTCTTAACAGCTGTCGTAGTTTGAATATACGCAGTTTTTGCACCATTCACACAGCAGCACAGTATTTTTCGAAACGGTCATTGGTGCCATAGGTATGGCTCTATCAACATAACTAGACCACATATAAAGTGTCAACAAGTAAAACAGATGGAATAAAATGCAAATAGTTGAATAGGCGAAAAAGTCAAAAAGGTAAACCAAAAGGGATAAAAGTCAATCATGCAAAAGTGCAAAAGCGTGAAAGACAACAAATGTACTGTGACAATTGCCAAAATTGGTTTTATTCAGTAAGTAGTACACCGTCGAACTAGACACTGATTCTGCAACACATGCAAAGGACTCGTTAGTTGGCAACTAACCATACACAGCATGCAGCCTTTGGAGATAGCATAAGGGCATGCAGCAAGCAACAACGAGAGCGTCCACGACCGCATGCACCAAGCAACCACCACGCAAGCCAATGCCGATGCGCATGCACATTCGCCATGCGACACCATCAGCACATGCACAATCACCAAGGCATGCAATTGCAACATGTCACAATACATAAGGTCGAAAAAATTCAGCAGCCCAAAAAGATCAAAAGTCAAAGGAATACAGTTCGACAAAACAGATCAACCACGGCAAGTCCAAATAAGCAGCAAGCCACACAGTAAAGGTCAAGTCAGAAGTCAAAATAAAAGAGGTCAAAGAAATACCAGTCCAGAGGATACAAGAAAACTACAAAATCGGTCACGCAAGACATCAAGATGTCTTAAAATGAGGCAGAACCCAGGATCCTGACGCAGTCGACCATGCTGGGACGCCTCCGGCACGAAATCGGGGCACTCTGCGCTCTTCGCCGGGCCACGAGACTGTTTGTACCATGTTTAGGCTAGAACTTTCGCCATTTTAGGAACGGGCCTCATTATAGACAAGCGAAAATAAATGGCATCGTTTTCTTATAGGCAAGTCGGGAGCGGCGCCGCGGGATAGGAAGGGGGGGGGGGGGCATAGCCCCCGCCTGCCGATAGGGGTAGGAACATAGGCATTCATCATCTCATTTTGGGAGGCCGTTTTTAGCCAAGCCAAAGTTTGTAGACGCACATCTGTTACGAGTGGATTCAAATGAAGTAAGAACAAAAATCAACCCACGTTGGCCTGAGAATTTCCATCCTTCTGCAGAATGCACCAGTGAAACAAAAAATATAACCAAGTTTTGAGCGTGCGCGCTGGCAATCAGGACCCAAAACACCGAAGCCCGGGGTTGCAGTTCCCGTACACCGAGCGGCGTGGACCGCTGCAGATAACACCAGACGGCGGGCGCCGGGCACGCGAGAACGACCAGTCATGAAAGAATGTTCCCACAAGTCTTGCAAAATAAGTTAGTTTTGTTCAAAGACTAGGCTGGGACATGTACTTCACCTAAATGGTATAAAAAAATCCCACAGCAGTCTAACAGTTACAGCAACATAAAAACAGACACTTCACACTCACATCCACTCAGACGTTCTCTCCCCGCCTCTCCTCTCTCTCTCTCTCTCTCTCTCTCTCTCTCTCTCTCTCTCTCTCTCTCTCTCTCTCTCTCTCTCTCTCTCTCTCTCGCCCTTCCAGGTCCACCACCATATTTCAGCCTCAGTTCGCAGCGCTGTAAATGCAATTGCATTCCTTAATGCACAGACTACCTTCTAAACGTGCGAATTGATGTTAGAAAGCCTTAAAGGTATCTTCTTCCTCCAGATACGTCATCTTTTTCGTTCGTCCTCTTGGCCGCCGCCCCCGTATCAAGCACGAAGCGAACATAGCGCGGTCCTATGGAGACTGCAACGCCGGACGGCGGTGTTTTTGCTGAAAGACCTGCGATTGCATGTGTTCAAAGCTATGTTACATCCTTTTTCTCTTACCGCTTCTGAATAAAGGTTGAACACGCCCATATGAATATGGATTGGCCGTGTTCGTACAAACTTTTGATCCCACCTAAATTTACAATCTACGTTCAGGATTTGTATCAATATAATCTTATCATTCTGCAGCTTTCGTTCAACCGCACTCAGCATTTCGGACAACCCAGTGAAAATTCTGGCAAAGTATCGAGTGCTATCAAATTCAAAAGAATTCGCTGAGCCATTGTAAAATGATGGGCGCTGGAGGCCTATTTCATTCAATCATCACAAAAGTGAGCAAATTTCACATTTTGTTGTCTATGTTATCGAATATCTCTGGTTTCGATAATAGTTTGGAGCTTGTTAAAACCTTTGTAGTTTGGCAAAATAGCATCCTAATTGCGGTTTAAATTACATCTGAAAATTCTTTATAATAAAAAAGAATGCCATTTATACAAAACTGTAAATAACGACACTTTTATCATCTCACAAACTCATCACACCCAGCTAACATGATCAAACAGTTCTCGGTTCTATTCATTGTTTTGTAACATTTTGACGATAATTCCCGACTCCTATGATGTGGGTTTGTCTGAGTGCAATGCATGTGTCGTGCGTCCGGCCTCCCGCTCTCTTCCTTTCTCTCCCCTCACTCTCACTCTCTCTCCCCTTTCTCTATTCTCTTTCTCGTTTTCTAATTGCATCGTACGGGCTCATGTACTCTAAGAATTTGGAATCGACTGAACTGCAGAGCCCTTTGTAAATGGTGTTTGACATAGAGCAATACAGATCGCAATGAATCTTGATCGATCTTGAACGAAACAACCGATTTGGCATACATATTTATCCACCAAATCATGCCCAAGTTCGTCGAGAGAAAACTGGCAGCTGGTGGCGGAAGTAACAATGTATTTATCACATTCTTTCCACACTCTGCCGGGATGGCGCATCTAAAACAGACACACACGATATTATTGCTGGCAGTAGCCAGAGAATGTATACATACGTCAAAGTGAAGAGTTAAATAGCCATACGCATCGGCCGATATGGACGCCGTCCAGGGCGCCAGCGCGGCCCGCCGACGCTCTGCAGGGCAGCAGAGGCTGCGGCGCAGGGGGCGGCGCCGACGCGGGTCGGGGCCGACAACAGGACTTGTGACCTGACCTGGCGGATTCGGGGCAGCGTGGCGACCGACGCACCGTCGCACCCCGTCGCCGTTGCCGACCGACACACGCTTGCACAGCTTTGACACGACAGTATGGCCATCTCCAAGCACACGCGACCCGAGCCCCAGCGGCGCTCCGTACAGAAGGACGCGAGGCGCGGCGGAGCGAGCGCCGCGCGGCCGGCCGCCGAGCCCGCCAGCTTCTGTACCGGATGCGCCGGTGCCGAGGTCGTCCGATATGGCGCACAGCCGCCCTGACCTGACGCCGCGGGGGTCGCGGCCACCAATTCCGACACAGTTCAAAGGCCCGTGGCCTACTTCATTCCTAAGGAAGCTAAGTCGAATAAATATACAGCACAACCGTCTCATATATCACCCCCCGTGTTTCCATCGCACAATGCCATCGAATAACATGTAAGTAGAACCATGTACAATTAGCTAAGGCAAACACGGTGATCAATGCGTAAAACACAGTCGTTTTAGAATCGATATCTTCGCATCAATCCAGCGTCCGAGTTCACGATTCTACTTTAGCTAAAGCAAGTCTCCTTTATGCTGTTTGGGCAAACAATATTTGCAGTGAAGAAAGAGGATCCTATGCAGGGGAAGCGACATAAGCGAAACCTCACAAAAATCGTGAGAGACAAAGACTAGAGTTCTCTAGAAAAAAGTTTTTGCTTTTTCCTTTTGCTTTGGATAATTTTGGTGGCCTGGGCCCGATGTTAACGAGACCCAAGTCGGACAACAGGTGCCAAGGTTCCTCTAACGAGATACTACAAAGTTTCCCATGCTTTTTTGTATAACAACTTGTACAAAAGGCTTCCAGAAATGAAAACGATAACTTGCAGTCAGGTGAATTTAGCAGTCGGCAACCATACCCTCCTCAAACTCAGTACTGTAAACAGTAAACGCAGACACGTTCCGATATTCCAAGAATCGCCATCCATGCACCTAATATCGAATCACAGAAAATTTCCGGCCCCTGTCAGCTTGAAGCCCCGCGCAGAACCAAAGAGTACAAAACGGTCATTCCAGTGGTGCAACTTGCCTACAGCTCATGTATGCACCGGACGGGCCATTCGCCTTGTTAGTGGTATGAGGCTTTATTGCTTGAAAGTATGATAACCCCACTAAACTAGAAGTCTAATTCCCTGAAAGCACCATATCAACCATGAACAGCACACGATGGTTATGAAGATGAGTACCGAACAACGGAGCCGCCGTGACCCTGACAGGGCAAGGGTCTTCCAGCGACGTGTACCGCACGTGGCAGGAAAGATGGGATGAGCCCAAACACAGTCGCCTTGCCGCCCAGCCGTCCAGTGTTGTTCGGCCGCCGTGATCCTCAGTGGCGGCTGCTCCTGGTCTCTGAGCTCGACGGCTCCCACTCTGACAGACTCAGCCGTACGGCCAGGTGGCGCCACCTCCGCCTCTGACCTGGCCCCTGGCGGAAGGGCCCAGCGGCCACTCGGCGACACGAGACACCAGCTCGGCGGCGTGAGAACGCCGCTCGCTCGCGGCAGGACTTAGAGAGCCAGAGACAGCTCAGTCTGACCGGCAGCGATCACCCGAGCGCCCACCTGGGCTGCCACCTGGGCCACCACCCGAGCGGCTACCTGGGCTACCACCTGGGCTGATACCCGAGCGGCTACCTGGGATGCCACCTGGGCTGTCATCCGAGCGGCCACCTGAGCTACCACCTGGACTGCCACCCGAGCGGCCACCTGGGCTGCCACCCTGGCCGCCACTCGAGCGGCCACCTGGGTTAGCACCACGGTTGCTACCCGAGCGGCCACCTGGGCTACCACCTGGGCTGCCACCCGAGCCGTCACCTAGGCTACCAGTTGGGCTGCCACCAGAGCGGCCACCTGGGCAACCATCTGGACTCCCACCCGAGGGGTCTCCAGAGCTGTCAACAGAGTGGTCAACCGGGCGATCAGCGAGACGCCTCGTCCTGGCACCGCGCCGGTCGAACGCGGCGTGTTTGGCACTTAGTTGAACAGGTCGCCGGCGCGCGGCGGCACGTGACCTCCACACTCCCCACAGACAAACAGTATCACAGGCGGGCAATCTTTGACGTCTCTGCCGGCCGACACGCCGGCGGGAAAGCTCGCAGACTCGGGCCGCCCGTGCTGCGCTGGGCAGCTACTGCGGCTCTACCAGCGGGCGGCGGCCAGCATGGCCAGCAACAGCGGCCAACAGCTGGCGCTGACCGCAGCCGCGCCTGCAGCCTTTTCCTTCGGCGGCACCGCAGTGGTGGCCGGTGGTACGTTGGTCCGCGGCACGACCTCCTCTTGCTCCTCGTCGGTCCCGATGTGCACGTCTCCATCGTGAGGCCGCTCTGGCGGCAGCACTGGGGACGGCCAGAGCAGACGTCACGCGCGCCGCACCGAGCACGATAGCCGCGGGCTCAGACAGCGCGGCAGACACGGGCTCAGACAGCGGGGACGGCCGGAGCAGATGTCACGCGCACCGCACCGAGCACGACAGCCGCGGGATCAGACAGTGCGGCAGGCACGGGCTCAGACAGCACGACAGTCACGGGCTCAGACAGCGGGGACAGCCAAAGCGGACGTCACGCGCGCCGCACCGAGCACGACAGTCACGGGCTCAGACAGCGCGGCAGACACGGGCTCAGACAGCGGTGACAGCCAGAGCAGATGTCACGCGCCCCGGACTGAGCACGACAGTCACGGGCTCAGACAGCGCGGCAGACACGGGCTCAGACAGCGGGGACAGCCAGAGCAGATGTCACGCGCGCCGGGCCGAGCACAACGGCCGCGGGCTCAGATCCGTGTTTGCTCGGTCCCCCGTGTGGAAACGTGAGCAGCAGCAGGACGGTGGGCTGGCGGCCCACTGCTGGTTTCCACACATGGCTTAGCCCATTCGCAGTGTCATTTTAGAAGCCAGCGGTTGTAGAGACTCGTTCGTCTTTTTGCATCCCACACTGCAATAGTCCGGCCACCGGCGCCGCCAAACCGGTGTTCCCCACAACGTGAAGCGCTGCTGCGTTGCTATTTTTGTGATTGCTAAAGGATGGGCTGCTTGTTCGAATACCAAAAAGAAGAATAAATATTATGAAGCGATAAAAAACAAAACGTGCACATAAAAGGCGTTAGTACTGGGGCATGGGTTCCACGACAGTTTCAGTGAATTACACCAAGACTGGGGACTCCTGCAGCGTCCAAAAGTAGCTCGTGTCGTGCTCTGGTCCGGGCAGGCAGTGAATATGAGCCGGGCCTCACGTGTATCCCCGTCGAATGTGTCCTGGTAGGCGTCATGGATGCCGCCGTCGCCGCTGCCGCTGCCGTAGTCGGGATACTCGTAGATGCCGTCCTCGTCGTCGTAGACCGACCAGTCGCCGGAGCCGCTGCCCTCGTGCCAGCCGCCGTCGTCTTCCAGGCCGCCATGCAGACTGCCCGTGGCCGGCAGCGCCACCATCTTGTCGAGCGAGATCTGGAGGGGCGACACGATCGTCAGCGAGGGCGACCCGACCGGCGACAGCGGCAGCGGCAGCGGACCGTCACCGCCGGCCGCCAGCGGCGGAGCTGCCGTGGCTGGGCGGCGGGCGGCGGGGCGGGCGGGCGGCGCGAGAACTCCTAGGTCATGCCATAAGTGGCCGCAGTCACGTACAGCGCGCCGGCTAGAGGCCAGACCAACCGACAGTTGCCGCCCAACACCAGCTGTAAAATATCGTCGTGCTTTGAGATGTGTGGACCCCAAATGCCAAAATACGCCCAGATCTTCGCAGCAAGGAAAGCCACACTGATGCAGCAGTGGCCGTGATTGATAACCATAACGATAATAACAGGTATGCCGGCATGCTAGAGACAGGGCCAGGCTTCCCTCAATCAGCAATCAGTTCCCAGCTACTAGCAGAGAAGCATTGACACTACGAGAAGCCCCAGCTGGACTTCAACGCCTCGGACACGTCATTACACACGTTGAGCTTGCGTGGGCCCACACTCCTACTTCACAACTATGCCGGGTATTTATCAGCTCCTACTTCACAACTATGCCGGATATTTATCAGCTCCTACTTCACAACTATGCCGGATATTTATCAGCTCCTCCTTCACAACTATGCCGGATATTTATCATCTTTTATAAATATATAAATATATTATATATAAGAAGCCATGCTTGAAGACATTCCTGGCAGTGCGATGTCTTACCAACACCCACAAATGCACAGCTTTTTCAAAACCATTTTGAAAGTAGCTTGTCGGTTTTGAGGGCACCACGCTGGGTGCGTTGCTGCACCCCACCCTCTCCCCCCTGCTGGACACACTACTGTATTTTGTAGCAACAGTTTATGGTACGCTGCAAAAAAAAAGTTGAAAAGCGAAGCCCGGTCAATGTCGGCCTTCCAGGATACAGGCCAGTTGCTACAGAGAGGGCGCGGTCAGCGCTCTGGACAGACCACTGCAGAGCGACACACGCACTCGCGCCAGACGCGCTTGTGTTGGCCTCCTCGCGAATTCATGGTTTCGCCGTGCCGCTCAAATACGGCGAGAAATCGAAAATGCTCTGCAGCCGGCTTTAACGTCTTTAATGTCTTTAACGTCACTCCTGTGACGTAGGGGGAGGCTCAAGCGCCCCCTGGCTTTGATCGCATCCGGCTCAACGTCCGCGCTTCCATGCGTATCCAACGAACCGGGGGCACAACCAATAAACGAGTTATTGTAGACAAGCCATGTTGAATTGAATTAGTGCCATTCGAGTACCATGTTGATCTTCCTGTTTGGTGATCATGGGTGCTCTTGAGAGCACGAGGTTATGCAAACCAGATTCGTGCACTCAACAGTTGTGATTCGAGAAAAAACTGCAATATGTTGAAATGAAGGGTGGCTCGTGACAGACCGCACGTTCCGAAGATAATCAGCAAAACCATTTTAAAAGCTTCAAAGATATCAGCCATTTCTTTGAGAAGTTTTCAGGTGAATTCAGGTCCCAGAATATCCTCTAAGCGATATCTAAAAAGATTATGGATCCTGGATGTGTCTGGACCCAGGTTGATGCCTCAGGGATCCGATCTCAGCAGCCATTTCTGGAAACCAGGCACATGTCTAGACAAGAGGCTTTGCTATCGATCACCGCGAAAGGCGGCGGGTTTCCGTGTCGCAGTGCGTGTTTGGTACGTGATCACTTCATGCGTGCGTCAAACACGAGTCATACACACTGACACGACGAGAGGACATACATGCGGGACGCTACCTGGATTCTCCGCCATGCGAGCTTGAACGCCCCGTGCTTAAAGACCCAAATGGTAAGACGGGAGATTTAAGTGAGGAGGATCGTCTGCATACGGATCGGTGAAGCACAGCTCTATAGAGCGGTACGGGCGCTCTGCAAACGATACGCTGTGTTTCCTCGTGCTGCTACTTAACACTTACAGGTGTAAGGCATGCCACGGGACACCGTGAATGCCTGGCCAGATCACCTGTAGACGTGTGTAGTCGTAAGCTTACTATAAAGGGTATTAAGATGTGCCTCTTGAGGCCTCTGACCTGTGCCGTATCGTAGGCGACCCTGACCATTGTCCCAGGACAGCCCAAAGCGTCGGCTCCGTGGATGTCCCAGGAGCTTGAGGAAAACACCTGGGTGGGGGCGGGAGTCTGACACATGTCCGGCGGTGGCGCGCTGTGGCCGCGACGTGTTGATTGTGAGGGACAGCTGTGACGTGTGAGTGTGGCAGGCATCCATGCCACGTCGCTGGTGACGAACAGCCATGGCGCGTGGCTGTGACGGACAGCTGTAATGTGTGAATGTGATGGGTCAGTCGTGATATGACTGCGACAGATAGATGCGCTGTGGCCGCGACGTGTGATTGTGAGGGACAGCTGTGACGTGTGATTGTGAGGGACAGCTTTTGTGACGAGGGGTGGAGTGTGGCAGGCATCCATGCCACGTCGCTGTGACGAACAGCCGTGGCGCGTGGCTGTGACGGACAGCTGTAATGTGTGAATGTGATGGTCAGTCGTGATATGACTGCGGACAGACAGGTATGACATGTGACTGTGACGGACAGCTGTGCCGCGACTATGACGGACAGCTATGACGTATAACTGTGACGGACAGATGTGACATGCGACTGTGACGGACAGCCGTGACGTGTGACTGTGACAGACGGCTGTGGCAAGTGACTGTGAAGACAGCTGTGACGTGTGAATGTGACGGACAGATGTGACTGTAACGGACAGATGTGAGGTGTACTGTGACGGGAGCTGTGACGTGTGACTGTGACGGACAGCTGTGACGTGGGACTGTGACGGACAGCTGTGACGTGGGACTGTGACGGACAGATGTGACTGTAACGGACAGATGTGAGGTGTGACTGTGACGGGCAGCTGTGACGTGTGACTGACGGACAGCTGTGACGTGGGACTGTGACGGACAGATGTGACTGTAACGGACATATGTGAGGTGTGACTGTGACGGACAGCTGTGACGTGTGACTGTGACGGACAGTATGACGTGGGACTGTGACGGACAGCCGTGACTGGATACCGTCTTGGCTGAACGATTCTGTTACGGCTGCTTAGACGTGAAGTCCGGTTGAACACAATGCATATTTATGCTCGCACAAACGTTGCCACTGGACTGAAGCAAAGCACAACTATCGAACGAGGCACCCCTCCTGGCCCAAAACTGACGCGGCCGGTCCGCGATCGCCTCAAGGAAACGTCTGACTAAACCATCTTGAACAAGGGAATGTGATTGTAAATGCCACTTGTGTAGCGCGACTCAATGCAGATATACACGGCGGAGGAATCCGAGCCACGCACGGCTGAAGCAGTCAACGGTTGAACAATGGAAAGTGGGGCTCTAATTACCATAACCACACAACGGATAACAACCGAAGTACATGCAGGGTCACAAGGGTACATGTAATCAGTCGGAGCTAATCAGAAGCATCCAGCTCATCCCTGGCCAGGATCGCTTTCATGGACTCACCGACGTTAAGCCGGAATAACAGTTGCATTCCGGTGGGAAGATTACAATGCATTAGATGACAGAAATGCCAACACGCAGCCGCTGCCTCCAGCAACACAACAGCAAACCCCACACACGTGGCATGTACTGTTGATCAGAACAAGATACTGACAGTCAGTAGTGAAGGACGCGCACCAGCCAGCCCCACAGTACCGTTTCCCACCCCGCCGTGCTGTGACCCACCCCGCCCGGTGCCGCTGTCCACCCACCATACCGTCACCCACCCCGTCGAACTGTTGCCCATCCGCCACACCGTGACCAGGCCGACCGTGCTGTGACCCTCGCAGTTTGTCCACCCCGTCGAACCGTTGCCCATCGCCCGTACCGTGACCAGGCCCACCGCGCTGCGATCCACCCCGCCGCAACACCGTTGCCCACCACGCCGCACCGTTACCAGGCCTGCTAAACAAATATTTCAGGACCGACGTTGGAAGAGAGGCAGCAGTTCCACAACAAACACGAACCAATGGGGGACCGCACCGACTCATGGAGCAGACCTACTCGCAACACCAGACGGGCCGTGTCACAAGATATGATGCGCAAACCATCATTTGCGAAACACGTGGTTTGGAAAAAAATAGAGAACGGCATTGAAGATGCGCTTGCAGTACACTCGATTAGCGTGGCTGCAAATCGGTGGTACTAGGTGTATTTGCTTGGGAAAGCCATATGGCCACCGATGAGCACCAAATGGGCTGGCAGCAAGGCGTGTCGCGAATGCCAGCGGCGTG